AAATCTCCAAACACCAGCAGTCCCATTTCCTACCAGATTTCGCCCAAGAGACAACCCCTCCCACCGAATCCAGATGTGGATCCAAATCACCAATATATCTTGTCAACTGGCCCTTCAACCATGGCCAACTCATCCATATAGTTTCACTACTTTATGGTTGTGCCAATTTCGCGGAATTTTGTTGACAAACAGACGAAACAATAAAACAGACGAATATAGAGGTAATAACATGATGCCGATTTAGACACGAGTACACACACACATCTCTCCGCTAATTCTTACCCACATGACAAGATCTATTCTTTTTTAAAAATCTATTCTTTTTTAAAAGGAATCTTGCATCCTCATGCAGTCCCTTTCGCCCCCTTACGGTAAGGTTTCGTCGCTCTTGTAAAACTGCCATGATAATCCTTCCAGGCGGATGCTGCCGTGTCCTGTGTCACAGCGGGAGGAGTGTGCCGGGACGCGGACTCCGCAGAATTGGAAGGATGCGTGAGTGTCGAAGGAAAATGCAAGAGGAACATGGAGTGCTGCCTGGGTAAGTGGTTTTCCAAGGGCTTCACTTCTTGGAAGGAGAGGGGGGTGGCAGTGGGAAAGAGATAGTGGGGTGGGAGGTGTGAGAAGGCGTCTATTTCGGCTGATTAATACAACCGTAGATGGTACTTATTTACCTCATATTTCCAGACGTAACCAGAGGCGGAAACGACGACAGAAAATGCAACAGAGCCGGAGGCAAATGCAAGAGGAGGAATGACTGTAACCGACATGATATCTTGGACAAGCCATGCAGTGGAAATCGAGTGTGTTGTGACGACGGCGGTAAGTAAACTACGATCCCCAGTCATCCTGATTTCTAACGAAGGAGGTCACTGCCTTAGTAACAAGGAGCGGTGTGACGGACACATTCTAAATCAGGGTTGCAAAGGGGATTATTGTTTTTGTTGTATTCCGGTAAGTTCTCCCATATTTTGATATACCGCTTTTCTTCGCCCTATTTCCTGTCATTTCGTTATGCTTAGAAGTTGCACGTTGATTTCGGGAATGCATTAAGGATTCAAATCACTCAAATCCGCAACACCATAGTAACACCAAAGCGAGAGCAATCGCTGTCCCTAAAGAAAGGCGTTCATTCACTAAATCCCCGGCTTTCTCCAGATTCGAGCTCTACCTCAACTAGTTCCACACCTTCGTCAACAAGCTCCTCCACGCCTTCCTCCACAAGCTCCTCCACGCCTTCCTCCACCAGCTCTTCAACGCCGTCGTCAACCAGCTCATCGACGAGCTCGTCAACAACCACTCCGAAAAGGAAATACTGATTTGACCCTCGAGCTTCAATTGGCCTTGGAATGTGGATGCTTTTCAAACAATCATGTTCCTTTCAATTCTTTACTTTATGATCACCGTCTGCTGTGTAAATTTAATCTCTTCTGATTTGGTTTGTTTTTTCTTTGTTTTTTCTTCTTGCCAAATTGAATTATGGAAATAAACGATTGATTTGTTGACAAAAAATGATGAATAATGAATGAAATAAATGTTTAGCACCTCACTGGGTCTGCGATATTTTCTTTCGTTTTCATCATCCTCTTTATCCTCACTAACATTTGAAGCAAATTCGTTTATGAAGCAAAGGTGGAAGACAGCATTTAGCCAGAACACAGAAAGTCATGAGCAGGAATATATTAACATATAATGTTTAACACACACACACACACACACACACACACACACACACACACACACACACACCACACAACATATATATATATATATATATATATATATATGCGTTATTTATATATATATATATATATATATATATATATATATATATATATATATATATATATATATATATATATATAATATATATGTGTGTATGTATATATAAGTGAAAGTGAAAAAGCCACAATAAATAATAAGAAATAAACGTTAAGTTTCGAACTCTTCACGAATTCCTTTTCGTGCGAATAAATAACAAAACTGGATTGTAGGTCGAAGGTCGAAGAGCCTGGGGAAGGCTTTACTTACAAACGACGAAGTAAGGTCTTCCAAGCTCCTTTGGCTAGCAGTTATACCAAAATTAGACAATTTCCTTATTAACTGAGCCTATTCTCTCTATTTATCCACTTTGGTTATTTATTCGTCAGAAGAGGCAGCGTGAAGAGTTCGAAACGTAACGTTTATTTTCTCTTACTGTGGGCTGTTTTCACTTTCATTTTTGTGTACACGTTAATCTGTTCGCGTATATATATATATATATATATATATATATATATATATATATATATATATATATATATATATATATATATGTGAATATACAACCTCCTATAGGGATTCGAACCCTCACTGCCATTGCAAGGAACTTGCAAGACGGTCATTTTAAAACACTAATTCACGACCCACTAAAAGGACTGTGCAATTAGGATCTAACTAGCGTCCATAGACATTACATATCTACCCTTACATTAGTAAGGTTAGCGAGGTTTTACACACTCCT